GTTGCATGTTCCTAAAATCCCACGCTTCAGAGCTTCAGCTGCTCACCTGCAGGGTCAGGAAGGGATTCCCCCCCCGCTTCAGTGTATTCTGTTCCCACTTTCCTCTGCAGCATCAGGAGTGGCCACAGCTGGAGATGGGACACAGGCCGGGGCTCTGAGGTGCCACTGGCTGGGCCTTGCTCACAGTTCAGGTGGTCCAACTGGTGCTGCAGTGGCTCAGGGAAGGGCCTGGTCTCCAGTCTCCTCCCAGCCCACACCACCAGGACTCTGGCAGGGGGTGTCCCACCGGGAGGGGATTGGGTGCCCCTCTATGGTCAGTGCAGCTGGCACCCCCTTCCCCGGGGTGTGGCGGGGAGGGCGACTCCCCGCTGCACAGGCAGTGCACTGACTGCAGTGAGGCCACTGCCAGGGTCTCCTCCCCAAGCCAGGAGGGCAGGGCAGGGCATGCGGCCCACCTGACAGATGTCAGGCGCGCCTGCCTGGCTCAGCTCTGCAGTTCATGTGAGAGCTGAGCTACTCTGGTCTTTCACTCAGTTCTATCATCTCCTAACCCCAGTGCAGGGGCTGAGGCGAAACTCTGGAATGATGGCTCTGGACGTGGCCTGCAGGGGTGCCCCGGCCCCAAAACAGGCATCTTGCTCACAGCATTGAAATGTTTGGGCCCCCTGGGCAGGAAGTTCCTCCCAGGTCAGATTGCTAGGGCCATGGGGTGTTTCTCCTTCCCCTGCAGTGTGGGGGGGCCGGTCACTGGCCCGGATTAGCTGGGTGTCTCTAACGTAATCCTTTCCCTGCCCCTGCAGGGGCTGCGAGCACTGGTGCCCCTTGGTCCTGCCTCATCTCTCCCCGACACTGGGCTGCCTGACTACTCGAGTCCCACCCTCTCCCTGTTCCACTACCACAGCGGCCTGGCTCTGGGTTTAGTGCTCTGCTTTCCAGGTTGAGGGGCCTGATCCAACAAGGAGCAGAGGGCCCCCAGCTTCCAGGACAGGGCCTGGCTGGCCGCAAGCAGAGCACGCCTCACCTGTCTGTAGGAAGACAAATTGTTTTCAGCTTCGAGCCGTAGATTAATCTCGTCCTGTAACCTGAAACAAGGAGCAAACAGGCAGTTGGCAGTTTTATATAATTATCGGCTTTTCTGAGCTAAATCCCAACAAAAACCCTCAAGGTCAAAACAACCAGGGAGTGTGCAGAGCCCTTATAATTCCCTTTCACTGATGTACATCCACACTCTCACACTCCTCTTCATACAGACACCCACATCCGACCCTCCTCTGTCACCCCCCCCCGCGAGTATCCCTCTTCACACAGACACCCACATCCGACCCTCCTCTGTCACCCCCCCCCGCGAGTATCCCTCTTCACACAGACACCCACATCCGACCC